CGAGAGAAAGATAAAATATATATAATTGTATTCGATTTCAAACGTAAAGTAGAATAAGCTGGCTTTGCTAGAAATAAAGAAAATTATTAAAATTAATGCTGCACTTTGTATATCACTCTCTCTCTATCATCCCTTTTCTTATAATCAAAAACTAAATCAAAAAATCGTTGGACAATTGTTCAAAATTGCAAACCTTAATTCAAAAGAAAGGAAACGCAACATCAGGAGAAAATTCACAAGAAGAAGAAGAAACGAAAAATGCGCGCAACGAGGTGAGCTCGACCGGTTTACAAGTACCTCGATCATCGAGTCGAGCTGGTATCGTAGAATCACAGAAGTCTGCACAGAAATTGGCGTCCCTTTCCACTTGTGCTCCTTCGTCCGTTCATTGTGTCTACCGAAAAAAGGAAAAAAAAGAAAAAGAAAGAAAGAAAAAACGGCGAGGCAACCGTATAGAATCGCGGAGAGGGGGAGAAATCAGTTTCGCCGTGGCAAAGTGCGCGCGTTTTACGCTTCCGCGGAGAAAGTGGGTCAGAGAGCCGAGCCGAATGACTTGGCACGTTTTCCGCGCTAGACGTTTCCCTCCACCGGATCCTCACCGGCAAAAACACCGCATCCATCGTGCCGTTTCCAATCCCTTGTCGGCCCTGCGCCCTTTCCGCCTTTCCCCAAAGGGAAAATGGATGACGCGACGCGGCTAACGACATCCTCAGCGCGATGATACGCGCTCTCTCTTCGAGAAGCCTCTACTCCAACGTTGGATCCAGTTCTTTTCTACTTTCTTACGATTCTTTGCTTCGTCGAGATTCGAAAACTCATCGTTCTTCTCGAAAAAATCGTACGAGAATCGTTTTGTATAAAAAGATAGAACAATTGTGAAAATTGCTGCCAATTTTTCCGTGAATAACGATCGAAATTATCGAACAAATGTTTCTCGAATCGTGATCACAAATAAGAGAGAAAGACAGATAGAGAATCCTTTCCCTTTTTTCTTCCAAACGAAATCCGACACGTACGTCCTAACGTGTTATAACTCGGCTATATAAATTTATCACGTGCATATAAAGATTTCCCTTTAATAAAAAAAAAAAAAAGAAAGAAAGAAGGGAGAAAGGCTGAAAGGCCCCGGGG